TGCTTCTTATACAAAGTGATAGCAACTTCTTTTTTTCCTTAATTAACCAATGTATTTCAGAACTTAATTATATCCCTTGCTTTATACCAGACCCCTAAAAATTGATCCATGTTTTAACCTCTTTTTCTTTATTCATGAAGATATTTGTTTATTGGTCCATTTATTTATCTACTAATAGTGTAAAATCAATATCCATGAACCCTCTCAAGCTGTAAAACTAGATTCTTGAACATTCCTGAGATTATTCCCACAAAGGTTATGATCCAGTTCTTGTTTGTGCAATGGACCTCAGTGTTTCAATGATTGATCATAATTTGTATTCAGATGCATTCCATTCACATCACTGGTCCAGACATGATTCTTTTCCATTTAATATAAAAAAAATTTTAGATATTACAATGAACAACCATAAATCCTCCACCCTATTCACCAACTAGACTACTGACTCCCTACATAATTAACAGCTAGAACTTTATCGAGAGACGAATGTTTAAATTATCAATACATCAAACATACAATGGGACATTTAGCTTTTGAAAATGAATATAAAAGCTAAGCTTTATTCTTATAATTCATTTGTGTTAAATTAGATTAATTTTGGTTCATAACACATTCTCATTATCATAGGCCTATTCATGGCCTTTTAAAAGTTAATTATCTTTTTCAGTGACACCATGGAAACTGTGAACTAACAACCCAAACCAAGACCTTTATTACTTATATTGCATACCATTCTCCTTACTCAGAAGAATAGGTAAAGATCTTCATAACTGGGGAATAATTTAATTAGCTAGAGTACATCCACCCTGTGAAATGTAAAGAAGATCTTAACAAATTAAGTTTTAAATTAGTGAACATGAGGCAACCATCACAGAAATTAATCATAAACAATGATTTATGCCACATTCTCATCCCCAGCTTATGAAAGGACTGCCATCTTATTGATTAATGTCTTCAGTTATCTATTTTAATAATATTATGAATACTTTAAATAAACCACCCAAAATTGAGAAGAACTATGAGAGTTACAGATGTCTGAGTCCGTGCCCCTTAACCACAGAGCTAAGAACACACAGCTCCTTTTGAAAAAGAACTTCTCTCTTGTGCTAAATTGAATTCATCATAAACTTTAGTTTACAATACAATCTTATCATTGGTCCTGATGTGGTCTTCATTGATTATATTCCATCCTTTCCATCATACCCTAAAGAGACCACCCCAACAATAACAAGAACTTGGATCATTACTCACATTGAACCATCATTATAGAATGATTATCATCTTAACTGTGTCCAGTCAATGAAGCTGAAAACAGATGGAGAGAAAAAAAAGGAAAACAGAATATGGATTCTTGAATATCTTAAAAGTGGAGGGAGTATGTGAAATTCTCTCTAATAATCCATCTTTTCCCCTTGATTTACTTAGCTATTTATAAGTAGGTATTGATTAATTTATGAGATTTGTTTTGCTTAGTAAACAAATTTGAACTTCTCATTGTCTCAGACCAAAAGCATTTGATATTACTATTCTTTATCTATGTTACCTTTACCTAAAAAGCATCCCCGATTGATTGATTTATTAATGAACCTCAATGTCTAAGGATATTAAAAATAATATAATATAATCAGTTGTACTTGGTGTGTACCACATTCTCATCACTGGTCTTGTTAAATTTTGGGTACAGATGTAGCCATGTATCCATTTTTTAAAATAATAAAATGAATACCTATAAACAACATAGCAGGGACATTAACTTTGCACATTGCTTATATAGGTCTATAGCCTTCTTCCTCAGGGACTTACCAGCCAAAGCCTTCATCAATGAGGATCCATTCTAGAGAGTAGAAAGAAAATGTTACAAAGAATGAAATATCCTTGATTAGAATTTAGCTCTAATACCCTAATGAATATAAGGTGAGCAGGTTTAGACCAATTTTAAAATTTGGGTCATGTTCTTCTTACAACTGGCAAAAAGACAGTCCCTTTTCATTGAATTAATTCAATTATTAATTTTGCTTCGAAATGTATACCTTTGAATCCACCACCTGAATCAAGAATAAGAGCTGTCTATAAGACACATCAGTTTCAATGCCTCCATCCATAAATATAACCCAAGTTTTTGGCCTCACAAGGGCAGAATTAGATTTATCCAAATGCTTGTTTCAAAGCAATCTCATACCAACGAACCATGCTTGATCCTACTTTATATATTCATTCACTCATAAACTAATTTAGTCAACTATTTGTTTTTTGTAAAGAATGAGAACAATGTTTAAATTCTCAGAAATCTAGAACATGAGTTCTCTCATGCATCTCTCTATATCCCCCTTACCCCAAACCCTATAAGAGCTGACATTTTTGTCTTAAAGAATAACAATCTCAGGAACCAGCTAAATCATAACCACTGTTTCAAGACATGCTCATTACCGGCCAGTGTTTTGTCTTTATTAGCTAACTGATCATTATTAGTTTATTCATTTATTCATTATGAAGATAAAATCAGTATCCTTGCACACCCCCAAGACTGTGACATGGGTAACAGTAACACATGTGCAGTTGCTCAGTAGCAAAGTGATAATAGATGATGTAACTTTGTAATGAAATTTAGTGAGCACAATAGCTTATTATAGAGAAAACTTTTATCACTGTTCCTTTTTAAAATAGCACTGAAGCTTTTATTTAATTACACAAATGACTTTCTTATTTATCAATAAAACAAACAGCCAGTAACCAAAGATAACATAGAACATAAACATTGACAATTCATACATCTGTCTACACATTCCTCAGTATCAGAGATTAAAAAAACAAAGCATGATTCCCAGCTCCTCAGAAATAGATTGGTACTAGGATTTATTTCATTACAAATCTCATAGCTGGTCCAGGAATGGCCATATTTTTATTCATTTACTAGTAATGCTCGAGCTCTTCATGCATTAATTCACTTATAATGATATAATTATTATCCATGAACCACAAAATTGTAAGAATAGAATAATTAACTAGTTTAAATTACTAGCTATAGGATCATTTCGAATGGAGCAATAGACTAATTTCTTTTCTATTATAGCTTAAACTTTCATAGATATTTATTTATTATCCTCAACTCATACTAGTAACCATCCATCACTGCACCACAATCATGCACCTTTGTCTTTATTTACACCTTGTCGATTCATTTATTCATTACACATAATAAACAAATATACATTAATTAGGAAAAAACAGAACAAGAACTATGATATCCTTATTTTCTATCTGTAGAAAGTATATGTTTTTTGAATTGACCTCATTGTTTTCATCACTGATTATTCAACATAATGTTTTCAATCAATCCCATGTACATTATGGGGTTATGGTAGTCTTCTTTAATTATATTTCCTACTTCTTAGTAATACATTGACCACTCTTAAATGACTCAAACCAAGACAAGAGCTTTGACTATTACTCACATTAGTCTCTGTGCTCAGAAGATAACCTAAAGCTAGAGGCCAAGGCAGAAAACTTAAATCAGCACAGGAGTATCTGTTCTGAGGAGTACATGGAAGAGTGGAAAATAAAATTTGATACTTTCTATCTATTAGTCTTTGTATTTCATCTTTAATTTACTCATCACTTGGTATTTATTAACTTATGATAGTATATGCTTATTTTTCTCTTAAAAAAACAAACTTACAATTCACCCAGAGCAATATCACTGATTATTAGTTATCAACGGCTACATGATTTTTACCTAAAGTTAAAACCATTGGTCTATTTATTATCCATTACATATTATATTAATAGCAGTTCTTTTCTCGCTACAGATGTTAGCAATTACAATATTCCCCACTCTCTTCTTTAATCATTTAAATATTTGTTTACTGATATTTCCATTTATATTAACATAATCATAATCGGTGAACCATAGAATCAGAAACACACAATTCTAACACACAATCGCTAACATCTATCTATAGTAAATTTCCCCATATAAAATTAATACCATATAGTATATTAGATTTCTCTTAAATTGGACCTCAGATACTAAATTCCAGATACTTAATAGTCATCATCATCCATTACTCATACACCACCAGCTGTCATCAGTGGCTCAGACTTGGCCCTCATCTTCTTAATTGTGTCTATACATTTTTATTGATTAACTGATCAGTTCACTAACAATAATGATTACCTAAGAATCACAAAAAATTAAAAGTAATCTCTAACATTTGTTAATATAATTATTAGCTTGAATAGCTCTAATACCTGTTTATATAATTATTACAGCAATACAACTCTTTAAATAATTAATCTTAATATTATATATAGACATTATTCAACATAATGCTTTATATTAATCCCATTTTTACGATTGGGTCAAAATATACTTTCAATGATTATATATAACATTTTTTAATAATACCATGAATAGCTGACTAGTATTTCATGGTATACATATGCCACAGTTTGTTGATCCATTCATGGGTTGATGGGCATGTAGGTTGCTTCCATGACTTGGCAATTATGAATTGAGCTGCAATTAACTTTCTGGTGCAAATGTCTTTGTGGGAAAATGATTTTTGTTCTTCTGGGTATCTACTAGATACCTAAGAATGGGACTTTCCATCTTTTACATTTACCTGGATGGAGGTGAAATACATTCTTCTTAGTAAAGTATTGCAATAATGGAAAAATAAATATCCAATGTACTTCATACTAACATTAAATCAATATTAAACAATTACATGTTCATAAGAACAATAAAATACAAATATAGTCTAGTACAGGGATAGAGGAAGGTGGGAAAGGGGGTGAGAGAGGACAATTGGCACAAAAAAAAAGAAAAAAGAATCCTTGATGATTCCCAGGTTGACCCCTCAAATGATTATATTAAATGCTATGATTTGAAAAAAAAAATAATGCCACAAATAGTTTAATAAAAACCTACTGAAAAAAATAAAAATTAAAAAAATTAAAAACTACTGAAAACAAGAAAAATAATTTTGACTATTACTCACAAGGTCTCCATAAACCATATAACACGCTGATGCAGCCACAGATCTTCTGACTATACAAAAAAGAAGGTAAAATCAGCTGGTGTGTGTTCATTCTAAGGAGTACAGAGTATAAGAAATGTTTCAAAAAGATTGAGATATTATTTGTATTGGTCATTGCATTCTGTCTTTCATGTAGTCAGTGACATAGGTGATTTTGGATGACCTTTTATTGTCTCTTACATAAAAAAGCACTGAACATTGATTATTACTTATCACCATCTATCTCATCCAAAGAAACAAACTTGTACCACTAATTTCCCACTTATATCAGTGTTATCAATGTATATTATAGATTTTCTTGCCTCACAAAATATTTTTAATATATACAAATAAAATTGAATATGTTCTTCATATATGTACCCCATCATTTATAACACTTCATATTCATTCCACATTTATCCTTTAGCTACACATGACCTTCATAATTACATTTCATATTTTTTGTTAGTGCAATGTAAACTTACAAACAAACCACCCAAGATAGGACAAGAACTTTGACTATTACTCACTTGGTCTTCGGGCTTCTAACAGAGAGATGGAACCATATAGTTTATAAACAAGGAAAACTATGACAACAAAAGGAGCCCTTCTTGACATTGATCCTTGCTTTTTAGTTTTCATTTAGTTATTTGTCTATGCATTCATTAATTTGGAGCATATTTATTTCATTTCCATTAAGAAAATGAACAATTTTTAACTGGCCACTGATGCAGAACTTGAATATGGTCAATAATTTACACTGCCTGTATCATCATTAGTCAGAAGTCATAGGTATGCCAAATTTGTCTTTGGACTTTACCAGTCTCAATATATACTAATAGTATTTCTTGTCCAACCACATATTTTTATAATTGGACAATTATAAAGTATGAATTTTTTACTAATCTTTATGTATTTATTGATTCTTTTACTGATATAATTATAAATATAAAATGAAAATGCATAAACACGAAAACTAAAAATACTTCCTTCTATATTCCTGGCATATAGAATCATTTAAAGGAACAGACCACTTATTTTTTTCAAAAGACCAGATACATATTCATTGTCTATGACTCATATGTGCCAGTAGTCATCATCAATCCAGGACTGACCCCCTTTTTTTCCATTTCTACTTTGTCTGATTAATTAATTTGCTAATAATCATTTTAAATACTATGATTCACAAAACTCTACAAAGAAAAACTTGATATTCCTAACCTATATCTAGACTCATTCTAACATTGAGGTATGTTTCATTAATCACCCTTAGTTTTTACATGTGCATTACCAATATAATGCTTCATATCAGTTCTCTATTACTAGACAGAACTGGCCATCTTCGATTACATTATGTACTTATTTATATGCATTTAGTCCTCCAAAGTAAACCACCCAAAGAAAAACAAGAAATTTGAATATTACTCACATTGGTCTATATGCTTGTTCCTGGACATGGTCCCAGCAGAGCACATAACCATGGAGGAATCCTCAAATCAGAACACATCATCCATTCTAAGGCATATAGGTCAGAGATGAGCACAAAAGAGAGACATTCTCACTATTGATCTTTGCGTTTCACCTATTATTAGTCACTTATACAATCAGTATTTGGAGTATACTTATTCCATTTTCTCTTAAAAAATGAACAATTTTGAACTTGCACCTGATCAAAAATTTTAACATAATCTGTAATTCTTCTGTTTATATCATCATTAGCCAAAGAAATGACAGACACCCTTTATGTCTCTTTGGATGTCATTGTTTTTATAAATATATATGTGTGTGTGTGTGTGTGTGTTTCTTGCCTCAGCACATATTTTTATAATTGGACAATGATTAACATTATTCATCTTTTTATATTATATATATATGTATATATATATAAATTGGTTTTCATGTTGCCCAATCATAAAAATTGAATAAAAGCACATAAACACAAACACCCAATACAAACCTACCCTATATTCCTGATATCAAACTTGGAAAACAGCTAGATTTATTTTCTGATGAACCTCAGAGCTCCAGACACATATTCACCGTATAAGACTCATACGCCACCAGCAGTCATCACCTATCCAGGATTGATCTTTTTGTCTCATAGGTTTCTACCTTGTCTATTGACAGATTCATTAATTCACTATGAATAATTTTTAGCTCCTATGATTCAAAACACCAAAGACAGCCTTTATATTCCTAATCTGTATATGGAATCATTTTAACATTGACATATCTATTTAATTAATCACACTTATTTTGTTACATAAGTATAATCAATATAATGAGCATATTATAAAACTTTTTATGATAATATCGGGTCCTCTTTAAAAACCACCTGAACCAAGTCAAGAATGTTGACTATTACTCACGTTCATCCACATGCTCCTAACCATGATGCAAACGCTGCACATGACCATGGGAGAATCTTTAAACCAGGATATTCGTCCATTCTCAGGAGTACAGACAGGGCAGAGAAGATGATAACAAAATGAGATATTTTCCTAATGATCCTTGCTTTTCACTTTCAGTAAATGAGTGATTTATCTAATCATTCTTTGAGGTTTATTTTTTCATTTTTTAAAGAAAATGAACAATTTTGAAGTAGTTGCTGATATAGAACGTAAACATTTTTTATGATTTATACTATCTATACTTATCATGAGCCAAAGAGGTCACAGACACATACCATTTCTTTCTCTATGTACTTCACTGTTTTAATATATATTGTGTTTCTTGCCTTATCACATATTTTTATATATGGACAATGCTTAATCTTAGTCATCTTTATTTACACATTTTATGTATTTGTTTACCAATTCTGTCACTGATACAGTTATAAAATAAAACAAAAATGTAAAAAACACAAAGACCAAAAACAAATTCATTCTACGTCCCTGACATCTCCTTCTAGGATCATTTAAAACAGAGGGAATTGACGTTTGTAATGGACCTCAGAATCCCAGATGTATTCATCGTATAACTAATATGCCACATGGAATCATCATCGATCCAGAATTTGCCCTATTTTTCTCCATACATTGTACTTTCTCTATTGATTAGTCCATAAATTCACTAATAATTTAAAAACCTTTGGTTTTCAAAAACCCAAGAACAGCCTTGGGTATTCAATATAATACTTCGAATCATTCCTATATCTATAACTAAGATACATTTGGCCATCTTTTATTGTATTATATACCTTTTTTATAATACACTGAATCCTCTTAAACAAACCACCCAAACTAAGATAAGAATGTTGACTACTTACATTATCTTGCATGCTCCTTCTGAAGCATGGTGCAAATAAAGCATGTGACCTTGGCAGAATCTTTAAGTCATCACAAACGTTCATTCTGACAAGTACAGAGCACAGAATATGATAACAAAATTAAGATGGTCTCATCATTGATCCTTCCTTTTTTACCTATCATCAGTTAGATTAAGTAAGCATTATTTGAAGCATACTTATTTCATTTTATCTTTAAGAAAATGAACAATTTTTAACTTGCCACGAAACTGGAACATGAACAATGTTAATAATCTAAGCTATCTATAAATTATTATCTAAAAAAGTTAAGTATGTATTATTTTTCTAGCTTTCACTTGTTTAAATAGGTATTAATATTTCTTGCATCACCATATATTTTTATAATTAGACAATGCTTAGCTTTATTTGTCTTTATTCATAACTTTTTATTGATTCATTGATCAAATTATAAAATGAAATGAGTATGCATGTGAACAGAAAACCAAAACCAAACATATCCTATATTCTTTACATCTCCTTATAGAATTGTTTGAAATAGAGGGAATTGACTTTTATCAAGGACCTCAGAGTTCCAGACACGTATTCACCGTGTATAACTCATACTCCACCAGTGGTCATCACCGATCCAAGATTGACCCTCTATTTCTCCATTCCTTTCTACATTGTCAATAGATTGATTCATTAATTCACGTCTAATAATTACAAATCTTATATTTCACAAACTCCAAGAATAGACTTGATATTTCTAATTTGGATAATCATTCTAATATTAATATATCTGTTTTAATAACTATTCTTAGGTTTTTATATGTGCATTATCAATAAGTACTTCATATCCACTGCCATAAGTATCACTGGGATACAGCTGGCTATCTCTGAACATATTATATTATGCACTTTTTTATAATGCATTGAGTCCTCTTAAACAAACCCACCTGCACCAAGTCAAGAACATTTGACTATTACTCACATTTGTCTGCATGCTCCTTCCTAAGCATGGTTCAAACAGAGCACCTAGTCATAGAGAAGTCATCCATTCTGAGGAGTGTAGAGTGGAGAAGATGATAAAATTTACACATTTTAAATATTGATCCTGGCTTTTCACCTATTATTAGCTAGTCATTTATGCAATCATTATTGCAGTCAATATATTTAATTCATTTTCTCTAAAGAAAAAGAAAAATTTCAAATTTGCCACTGACCCAAAAATTGAATATTATTAGCCAAAGAAGTCACAGGCATGAAATATTTATTTCTCTGTGGACTTCGCTGTTTCAAAATATATTAAGAGTATTCCTTGCATTTCAAAATGCATACATTTCAAAAAACATATATATATTTATAATTGGACAATATCTAACATTATTCTTTTTTATTTATTTATATATTTATTTATTAATTCTCACATTGACCAATTATGAAAATAGAATAGAAATATGTAAATATGAATACCAAAATCAAATACAGTCTATGTTTTTGAAATCTGTCTATAGAATAATTTCAAACATACACAATGGGCTACATTTTCTTTGTGGTGGACCTCAGAGTTTCAGGCATATTCATCGTCTATAACTCATACACCCCCTGTGGTCATCATTGATCCAGAATTGGCCCTCTTTTCTTTGCTTTCCTTTCTAGCTTCTTTTGATTAATTTATTAATGTAAGAATAATAATTTTAAGTCCTACAGTTTATAAAACTGCAAGAACAGCCATCGCTATTTGTATACAGAATCATTCTAATATTGATGTATTTATTTTATTTATTATCCTTAGTTTTTCACATATGCATTTTCAATAATACCTCACTGTACTGCTATGTTTATTCTTGAGTTTGCCATCTTTAATTATAATATGTGCCTTTTTGTAAGACACTGAATCCTTATAAACAAAACAAGATAAGGACTTTGACTCACATAGGTCTGTAGGCTCCTTCCTAAGCATGGTGCAAATATAGTATGTGACCTTGGAGGAACCCATGAATCAGCAAAGTACAGATATTCTAAGGAATATAAAGCAGAGAAGATGATAACAAAAGTGAGATAATATCACCACTGATCCTTGCTTTCTACTTATCATTAGTAATCCATATTGAATTATATTTCATTTATTTTATCTAAGGAAATGATTAATTTAAAACTTGCCATTGCCCTAGAAATTCAGCACTATCTATACTTTATACTGTCTACACCATCATTAGCCACAGAAATCATAGTCAGGTACCATGTATCTCTCTGTGGACTTTCTTATTTCAATAAATATTAAGAATATTTCTTTACAATCACAACCAATTTTTAAATTTGGACAATGCTTAAACTTTTTCATCTCTATTTACATACACATTTTCACTGACTTTCACATTGGCCAATTATAAAAGTACCTTCTATATTTCTAAAACCTGTCTCTAGAATCATTTGAAACAGATGCAAAAGGCCAGATAACTTCTGTGACGGACCTCAGACTTCGGACGTATTCATAGTACAAGACTAATACGCCACCAGTAGTCATCATCGATCCAAGACTGACCAGTTTCCATTCAATGATATCTCATCTATTGATTAATTTATTACTTTACCACCAATAATTTTAAATCCTATAAATAGCTTTAATATTCCTGCTCTCTGAACAAAAATCATTCTAGCATAGATATATAGGTTGCATTGATTAGCCTTAGATTTTCATGTATGCATTATTAATGTAATACTTCATATTACTGCAATATCTGCCATTGGAATACAGTTTGCCATATTTAATCAATGTCTTTTTATAAGACATTGAATCCTCTCAGATAAAACACCCAAAGCAAGATAAGGACTTTTGACTATTACTCACATAGTAATACATGCTCCTTCCTAAGCATGATGCTAGGCACAGCAAATGACCACCAAGACATCCTTAAGTCAGCACAAGTATGTCCATTCTGGGGAGTATAAAGCAGAGAAGATGATAAAATTGAGGCACTCCTCTTACTGATCCTCTTTTTCTACCTTGTCACAGACCCTGAATTTGAACTATGTATCATTTCTCTCTGAACTTCTCTGTTTTTTTTTTTTTTTTGAGACAGAGCCTCAAGCTGTCCCCCTGGGTAGAGTGCCGTGGCATTACAGCTCACAGCAACCTCCAACTCCTGGGCTCAAGCGAGTCTCCTGCCACCGCCTCCCAAGTAGCTGGGACCACAGGCGCCCGCCACAACGCCCGGCTATTTTTTTTTTGGTTGCAGCCGTCATTGTTGTTTGGCGGGTCCGGGCTGGAGATTTGAACCCGCCACCTTAGGTGTACGTGGCTGGCGCCTTAGCCGGTTGAGCTATAGGCGCCGAGCCAACTTCTCTGTTTTTAATATATATTAATAGTATATCCTCCCTCACCAGATATTTTTATAACTGGACAATATTTCAACCACTTTCTCTTCATTTATTTATATATTTGTTTATAGATTTCCATATTAATCCAATTATAAAAATAAATCAAATGTAAATATATAATTACACAGAAAAAACAAATACATTCTATCTTTCTAAAATCTTTCTATATCATGTGAAACACAGAGAATAGGCCAGATTTCTTCTGTAATGGACCTCAGAGTTCCAGACGTATTCATCGTACAAGACTCATACGCCACCAGAAGTCATCAGCGATCCACAATTCATCCTACATTTCTCCATTAGTTTTTACTTTATCTATTAAATACTTTATTAGCTCACTGATGATAATTCTAAAACATTTGGTTCACAAAAGACGAAGAACAACATTGATATTCCTAATCTGCCTGCAGAATCATTCTAATATTGATGCATTAATATTTACTTCATTAAGTAATCTTCAGTTTTTCACGTATTACCAATATAGCACTTAATATCTTTCCTAAATCTATCTCTGGGATATAGTTGGCCATCTTTGATTTATATGATATCTTTAAAAAAAAAAAAAAAACACCCAAACTAATACTAGAACTTGGACTACTCACATTGGTCTGCATACTCCCATATGTGATGCAAATGGGGCATATGACCGTGAAATCCTCAAATCTGCACATATCATCTATAGAAGAGTACAGAGCTAAAAAGTTAATGACATTGAGACATTCTCACTAATGATCTTGGCTTTTTAACTTTGCTTTAGGCCATCATTATGTGGACTAATATTTATTTCATTTTCTTAGGATCTTGATCTTACAAATGACTAAGAATTTGATCTATAATTTATAAAATATCTCTTTGGACTTCACTGATTTTAATATATGTTAGTAGTACTTCTTTCCTCACTGCATATTTTTATAATTGTACAATTGCTCATCCATTTTATGTTTATTCATTTATATGTTTAAAGATTCTTGCCTTGCCCCAATTATAAAAATAAAATGTAAATGCATGAACACCAACACCAAAAACAACTTCATTCTATGTTTCTGACCTTGGTCTATATAGGATCACTTGAAATAGAGGGAATGGGGCAGTTATCTTCTGTGACAAATCTCAGAGCTCCAGACACATATTCATCATATTTGACATATATGACATGAGTATTCATCATCCATCCAAGACTGGTCCTTCTTTTCTCATTCATTTCTAGATTGCCAATTAAGTCATTAATTTACTAACAATAATTTTAAAGCCTAAGATTAAAGAAAACTCTAAGAGCCTTGATTATCCTCATCTGTACATGGACTCATTCTAACATTGATATATCTGTTTTGTCAAATATCCTCAGTTTCTAAAATATGGACTATCAATATAATACTTCATAATTACTCTAGCATCTATTATTGGGATAATGTTGGTCATTTTTGACAATATATTTACTTTCAATAACAGATTTAATATTCTTAAATACACCACCCAAATCAAGATCAGGATGTTGACTACTGCACACATTGGTCTGCATCTGTCTTCTAAAGTATGGTGCAATAAAAAAGCACATTACCCTGGATGAATCCTCAAGCCAGAGCAAGTACATCCATTCTGAGGAGAATAGAGCAAAGAAGATAACAAATTTGAGATATTATAACCATTCATCCTTAATTTTCATGTTTTTTTAATTAGTCATTTAGGCTATCATTAAAGTATATTTCTTTCATCTTATTTTAAGTAAATGAACAATTTTGAAATTGCTACTGACCCAGATCATGAACATTATTATCTATAATTATACTGCCTATACTATCATTTGCAAAAGATGTGACAGGCATGGACCATTTATTTTTCTTTGGACTTTACCATTTTCAATACATATAATATGTCTTGCCTCATCACACTTTTTTAATTGGACAATGCTTCACTCAAATAAATATATTTGTTTTAATATTTGTTTATTGATTCTTACATTAATGAAGCTATAAAAATGGAATGAAAATACATGAACACGAAGACCAAAACAAATACATTGTATTTCCTGACATTGGTCTACAGGATCTTCCCAACAAAGAGAATGGGCCAGATTTCTTTTGTGATGGACCTCAGAGTTCCAGACACATATTCATCGTGTAACACTCATATGCCTGCCACCAGTAGTCATCATCGATCCAGGATTGGCCCTCTTTTTCTCCAGTCACTTTTATATTGTTTATGATTAGTTTATTAATTCATCAATAACAATTTGAAAAACTGTTTCATAAGATCCAAAGAAGAGACATAATACTCCTAATCTCTACATAGAATCATTCTAACATTACTATGCCTGTTTCATTAACTATTCTCAGTTTTTCATATGTTCATTATCAAGATAAGCCTTCATATTCTCCTATATTCATTGCTAGAATACAGTTAGTCATCATTGATTATATTACATGCTTTTGAGTAACACATTGAATAATTTTTAAATAACTGCCCAAACTAAGATAGCAATTTTAACTATTACTCACATTGGTCTCTATGCTGCTAACAAACAGGTTTAACCATGGAGCACATGCCCATGGAGGAGTGCCTCAATCAGCTGGAATGCAAACATTCTGAGAAAAGAGCAGAGTAAGTGAGAAAAAAATTGGAAACCTCATCCTCTAGGATTCTTGCTTCCCATACTGCATTTACTTAATCATTCAAGTACTTCATGTTTTTTCATAAAGTGTATAGTTTCTCTCCTAACAAAGGGATAACCTTAAACTTGGAACTGATTCAGAACAATAAAACTGATTCTTACTATCATTGTCTATAGGATCCTAAGTCAGAGGATCTTTGATCCAACTATTTTCTTAATGGGCATCAGTTTTCTCTATTTGTATTAATATTTCTTGCCTCTTTCATATGTTCACAGTCTGACAATATCTATTTACTAATATAATATTTCTTTAATGGTTTTGTCATTGATCCATTAATACTAATAAATCTAAATCCATGAACAATATCTTTGTGGATTCCAAACATCTGTCTTTAGGATTCTTCCAAACAGAAGGAATAGACTAATTATGTTGTGTTGCTACTGTGAGCCCCACACATATTACTCATAGCTTATGACTCATATGCCACCAGTGGGAATCATTGGCCCATGTGAAATCATTGGCTGAGTTTTTCTTCATTCATTTTTACATTTGTAAAAGGCTGGATCATTACTTCACTGAAAGTAATAAAATAAAACATGAGTCATAAAGATGCAAGAATAAAATCCTTGAATATCACTACTATCCATCAACACAATAATTTCCTGTATACATTATATCTTTGTCATTAAGCATTGTCAATGTTGTATAATATTGTTTGATCAACATAACGATTTCTTTTCAGTCTTATTATGGGGCCATAGATACATGTAACTATTTGATCAAATAATTTTTAATGCTACACTGAATACCTTCAAACAAATGAATAAAACCAAGATAAGGACATTGGTCTCTTTCCGAACAAAGTAGTAACATAAGAAACTTGATCATGACAAGGATGCTTAAATCACCTCAATGGCTCTGTTTTGAACACTACCAAGCACAGATGATGAGGTATTTTGTTAACTGGCCCATAATTTCTATTTTTTATCTACCTATTCATTTGGATTTTCACTAATTTATGGTAATATTTACTTTTCTTCTTATAAAATAAACTTTAAAATTATAACCAACTTACAGCAATAGCTATTAATTAGTAATTATTATCTATATCAACTTTACTGATACACTTGATCCATTTGGTATCCATATGAAAATGTACATTGGTATTTTTCCTTGCTACATACTTTAGCAATAAGCAATGCTTTACCCTCTTCAGTTTTATGCAATTGTACATTTATTTTGTTATCCTGCCATTGATACTTTTACAATATTATTATTTAATACATTTTTGAAATATAAGAACACAGGATTGGGAATAAGATTCTCATATATTCCTGGTATCTGTCTACTATATCCCTTAAACATGGGAAAACACTACATTCTATTTGTGTTGGAGCTCAAAGGTTGTACATGTACTATTCATCATATACAACAATAATATACACCAGTTGTCATCACTGGTCCAGGACTGAGCTTTTTTCTCTTCTTTCTTATCTATAAGTATTTTTTTTTAATTTTGCTTTCAATTGTTTTAGTTTAAAGTTTCTTTTAATTTTCTTTTTTCTAAATTTTATTTATTTATTTATTTATTTAAACAGAGTGTCACTTTGTGGCCCTCAGTAGACTGCCATGGCAACATAGCTCACAGCAACCTCCAACTCTTGGGCTCAAGTGATTCTTTTGCCTCAGCCTCCCCACTAGCTGGAATTACAGGCACCCACCACAATGCCTGGCTTTTTTTTTTTTTTTTTTTTCGTAGAGACAGAGTCTTACTCTAGCTCAGGCTGGTCTCGAACTACTGAGCTCAAGGCAATCCACCCAACTCGACCTCCCAGAGTGCTAGGATTATAGGCATGAGCCACCACTCCTGACCTATACTTGTTTATTGATTAATTCGTTAATAAAATATACATAAACCACAAAAAGAATAGTTTTTCATTATCCATAACATGCAACTACACTGCCATTTACCAAGAGTCTAAATACCTTTCTTGAATTGAATTTCTATTATTGTATTTATATTATGTATTAATCAACATAATACTTTATATGTATCTAATACGACTGACACACTTTGAATCACCCAAACCAAGACAACTTTGACTATTGTTCACATTGGTCTCTGTGCATCGAACACACAGATGCAAACTAATGATCATGGATTAAATCAGCAAGAGCACGTCCATGCTAAGGAGTGTATAGCACAGTAAATGATTAAAAAATTGAGACCTTCTCTCCATTGAGCCATAGATTTCTCTATCCCTTCATATAGTCATTCAGGTTTTTACATGGGTCATTACAAAAATTTTAAGGTATGTAACAATGAAGAAATGTAAAATCCAAGTGGATGAAAACGAACAAAGCCCTCCTTGCAATACTGATAAGCAGAGCAACACAGTTAAATCAGAAAGGATGCTATTGACTGTTGACTTTTATTCTTGGTAGTGAAATAATGGATCATAACACATTCTATCTCAAAACGTTTGTCTTGACCTACATATAACTTTTATGTTAATATTTGCTTATTTTCCTCTTAATAAATCAAACACAGGCTCAGCGCCTACAGCTCAACCGGCTAAGGCGCCAGCCACGTACACCTAAGGTGGCGGGTTCGAATCCCCAGCCCGGACCCGCCAAACAACAATGACGGCTGCAACCAAAAAATAGCCGGGCGTTGTGGCGGGCGCCTGTGGTCCCAGCTACTTGGGAGGCGGAGGCAGGAGACTCGCTTGAGCCCAGGAGTGGGAGGTTGCTGTGAGCTGTAATGCCATGGCACTCTACCCAGGGGGATAGCTTGAGGCTCTGTCTCAAAAAAATAAATAAATAAATAAATAAATAAATCAAACACAAAATATGAAACTCATCAAAGCTATTATGTAGTACATTTTATTATCACCTTTCATCTAAGACAAAATATATTTATTCCACTTATATTAATGAGTTTTCCTTACTGCAGAGTTTAACAATGACCATGCTTTACCAACTTGATGTTTATTCATTATAAATTTATTTATTCTACCATTTATACTTTATAATGTTATTTTTCAGAATTCATGAACACAAAAGACAAGAATAAGATCCTTCTATATTCTTGACATTAATTTATTGAACAGTTCAAACAGAGGAAATGGACATACTCACACTGGTCAGTGTGACCAATGACACAGATGTAACCCTAGAGCACATAGCCTTGGAAGAGTGCTTCTTAAATCAGCTCAGGTGGGTCCATTCTGAGAAGTACAAAGCAAAACATTTGATTAAAAAAACTGAGACATTACCCTAAAGATCCTCATTCTTCATCTAAGTAATCATTATTTAAAATATATTTATTTCATATTCTAAAATAACAACTTTGCACATGCTATGTACATGTTATAGAACAAAAACCAAATTTTGTATACTTGGGACATCTGTAAATAGTACCTCTTCAAAGGGAGAAATGGACGAGATTCCTTTTGTTTTGTTTTGTTACTTTTTATTTATTTTATTTTATTTTTTTATTGATGGGGATTCATTAAGGATACAAGAAACCAGGTTACACTGAAGATTCCTTTTGTATTGGACCTCAGAGTTCAAGACACACATTATTTATCACCTTTGACTCAAATGCCACCAGTCATCATCATCGGTCCAAGAATAGTCCACTTTTTCTTCACTCATTTCTATATCATTAATTCATTTGGTAATTTAATAATAATAAATTTAAAGTGTTATGATGCTAGAAACCTGAAAAAGAGGCTTGATATCCTGAATAAGTGTATAGAATCATTCTCAGATCATTATATCTCCTTTACTAAATATTCCTAATTTTTCATAAATTAGGAATTAAGTAATTATCAATTAATTTATTCTATTGAATTAATCAGTAGAATACTTCATATTGATCCCCATGTTTGTTTCTCAGCTGCAATTGGCCTTCTAAAATTGCACAATTTTTAATACGGCAGCAAATACCCATATACAAACCAAGACAAAGATATTACTCACAATGGTCTCCAAGTTCCTAATGCGCAGATAGAACCATATAGCATGTCACCCTGGGAGAATGTTTAAGTCAACTTGAATGAGTCTTATTCTGAGGTATAGAAAGAAGGGTTGGGATAAAAAAATTTTGAGACCTGGGCAGCGCCTGTGGCTGAAAGGAGTAGGGCACTGGCCCTCTATATCAGAGGTGGTGGGTTCAAACCCCGACCCCGGCCCTGGCCAAAAACTGCAATAAATAAATAAATAAATAAATAAAATTTGAGACTCATGAATATTGTTCCCTGCTATATCTATAATTTAAGTAGTCATTTAAGCAATCATAAATCTGTACTCTAAGTTTCATTTTCTTTTAAGAAACTGAACATCAACTTGCCATAGACCCAGAACAGGAACGGTGCCTATAATTTATACTATCTATATCATCATTAGCTACTAAGGTAATGTGCCATTAATTCCTCACTGGATTTCACATTTACAACATATATTAATAGTATTTCTTGCTTTGCTACATATTTCTACTTTTAGAGAAAGCTTCACCTATTTTATCTGGATTTACTTATATACTGTCCATTGATTCTTTTATTGACATGATTACAATAATAGAATGAAAGTACATGAAAAGAAAACCCAATTTTCTTTCGTGTTGGACCTCAGACTTCCAAACACATATTATTCATCAAAGAATCATACACTGGCAATCATCATCATTGGTCCAGAAAAGACCTACTTTTCTTGCATAAATTTCTAAATTATTTATTGATTAATTCAGTAATTATACTTTAAAAGCTCCATGATTCACAAAAACCCAAGAGACTTGATATCCATAATATGTACTTTGAATCATTCTCCATTAATATATCTCTTTCATTAATTATCTTTAATATTTCCCATATACATTAAACAATATAATACTTCATATTAACTTCATGTTTATTACTAGGCTATAGTTCACTTTCTCTGAATTTATTCCACACTTATTAATAATATAGTGACTCTCCTTAAACAAACCACCCAGAACAAGATAAGAACTTAAGCTATTACTCACTTTGTTCGCTAAGCTCCTATCACAGAGATGAAACCAAAAAGCTTGTGATGAAGGAAGAATTATAAAATCAGTTTGAGAGGGTCCATTCTGAGAAATATAAAGCAGAGGAAATGATAAAAAAAAAAAAGTGAGATTTTTCTATGCATAGAATGAAAATGGATGAACAAAGGTTAAAACCAAAATCCTTTTATATTTCTGACATCTGTTTATAAGACCATGTCAGACGGAGGATATGAACTATGTATATTTCACATTGGACCTCAGAGTTTCAGACATGTATTCATCGTCTGTGACTCATATGCCACGAGTCGTCATCACAGATCCAAGATTGTCACCTACATTTGTTTATTGATTAATTTATTAAATCAAAATATGCTAATTTTAAAACACTATCATTTACGAAGGTTCAAAAAGAGCCTCTATATCTGTATAGAGAATTATTTAGAATATCCATGTATCATTTTTTTAATTATCTTCCATTTTTCATATGTGCATTAATTGACATGTTATATATTCCACATGTACCATTGGGCTATCATTGAATTATTTAATTATATTTCATACTTTTTAATAATATGATATTATTGTGAATGATATTAAGATAAAAAATACTGAAACCAGGAAAAGAAATCAAATCATTACTTACTTTAATCTCGGTGCTCTTAATACATAGAGATAACCATAGGGTCCATTACAATGGAAGAAAGCTTAAATCACCTGAAGTATGTCCATTCTAAGAGTACAAAGCAAAGCAGATAAAAAAAAAATTAAAACTTTATTTCTATTATTCTTGCTTGCTACATTTCATTTACTCAACCAATTAAGTATGTATTGCTTATTCACTGTGAGTAGTTGTATGCAAATATTTATCTTAACAAAAGAAACACATCTCCCTTAAGACTAACCTACAATGGCTC